TGGATGACACAACGCGGTAGGTTGTAATGATTTTAAAAATGCGCGATTATATATAATACGATTAGGACACATTATTGATAAATTAAAACAAAATTAAAAGAGCAAACCAAAGCAATTTTGCAAAATGTTGTAAGGTGGAATTTTTGGTAGCCCTATGTTCAAGCAGGCCGCTACCACCAATTGCAACAACAAACATCACCAATCATCACCAACGGGAGAGATTTAACAGAGGTTGTTTCCTTCACCTATCTAGGAAGAAGCATCACCGTTTCAACCACAAGCAGTCGGATAGCACGAATGAAGATGTCAAATCCAGATAGTCAATAGCGGAAAGCCAAACTGAAAGCAGTTTAGAAATCTTCTCTACTCCACCTCAGCCAAATAAACAGCAAGATTTGGATTCTGTTCAACATAAGTATGCAATCAGTCAGCCAGTCAGTCCTTCTATACGGGTCAGAAACCTACACTGTGCGTACATAACGAAGAGAATTTTCGACTAGTTACAGACCTTATCAACAGCTACTCACTGTGCTGGATAGCTCCACACTGAAGATTAAATAGCCAACCTGTTGGTCAGAAAGAATTAACAACAAGAAACTCTGGCTGGTAAAAAACCAACAAGCAAGAGCCGACTGCTCAACAAGTGATATGTAGGAGAAATGGAGATGGATGGGGTATACGTCGAAGAGGCCATTGAATGACTTCGCATACAATGCAGGCCATTGCTCGGATGGAATTCCAGTGGGAAGCGACGAGTAAGTCGTCAGTGTGAGGGTGACCAAAACAAGATTTTGTGAAGAGGAGGAGGAGAAATTATGGGCAATCGTAGTCCCAGGTGAAAAGGACAGCAGAAAATAGAAGAAAGCGGAGATGTGTCGTTGAAGCCGTATGTTCCACTGGAGACCAAACGGAATAATACTACTAATAATAAGTCCACTCAGTCACCCAACTATCGAGATCGTATCAGTCGGCGGCATATTTATAATAGTTTTGAGATTGTTAAAGATAAAAGCAACTGACAAGAATGAACGAAGTTTGTATTATACTTCAAATGTGTTCATTCTGTCTTTTTTCATTCAAGATTGATCGATTTTATCTAACTGATGAGTATAAAACACTGATTAAATCAACATCATCAATTCCACCTTCAAGGTCATTCACCGCATATCGACAAATCACCATTTCACCTCAAGAGTTCTACTACGAAATATTGCTGAGGCTGGCTGTTGGGATCCATATTGAGTAGCCTAATTTATGCATCCAAAAGAATCTAGTTCAGACACTATCGTTACCTTCGCCATCTAGGTTTGAATGATCCTCAGTTATTGTAGAAATTTCCTTAATTTTAGTTAATATTCTATTTGCTACCATATTTTTATCGCCATTATAATTTAAGCATCTTTAATGAACTGTAATTCCATTGCGATCTCACTTTACAAATCGATATTATTTAAAAAACACTAATATTCTTATTGATTACTATTCTAGAATATTCTACGTATATATATATATATATATATATATATATTATTAAACACCATTCCGAACAATAATGATCGTACACAATGGTAACTTTTGGCATCACGTAATCCGACGAAAGAGAGGTGAAAATATCCAGTTTCCAGGGTAAAGAGAGACTTATAACTGTTTTTTTTTGAACGCACAAATCAGGTTTCAGGCTCTTGATGGAGATGGCTTCAGCAAAATTGAGGAGAATTGAACTCTTTTGCCTGTTGATAATTTTGAACGATCTTGTGACGTCCACCTCATGACCCGTGTTGAGGAGATGCCTGGTGATGGCACTGTTAAGAGCATTTGTTCCTTTTAGACGTAGGCTTTTTGGTACATGTTCAGAAAATCGTAAATATGCCCAATATCACTGCTCCCACAGATACATGTAAATTTGTATATACAGTTGGAGTTAACATGAGAAGGACATCTATCGATTTTTGATTGCACCAAAGAGCAAGTTGTTCGATAGACAGGGACGAGTTTAGCTGCAGAATTGGGCTCTTCTGTCGCCCATTGCTGCAATGTTTTTACTTTCAAAATCAAGTTGAATGTGGATGGGTTTTTTCTCCACTGTGATTTGCTCGACATTTGAAACTTCAGATTTTCCGTACTTGTTAATGAACCTTTGAGGGTACCCATTGCTCTTCAACATCATTTCAAGAAACACAAATTCTTCCTGTAATTGTTCTATAGAGAATATTCTCGTCGCTCTATAGTACGCAGTCGTGACCAATCCATGTTTAAAGCTATTTGGACAAAAACTATTGAAATGTAGGTATTGTCCTTTTTAAGCAGGCTTTTGATAAATTGACTTGTGAAGACTACCATCTTCAAGGCGTTGCATGGAAATGTCGAGGAAGTGGAACTCTCCATCATTTACATGTTCCATAGTAAACTCAATATTGATATGTGCGTTATTGAGTAATCTGAGTAGGTGTGAAGCATGACTTTCATTGTTGCATACTACAAGTGTGTCATCGATATATCAACATTAGGATGTTGTTTCGTTGATTGCATGCTTCAACTTTGTTTTCTCAAGGTTTGACATGAATATATCTGCTAAAACAGGACTAAGTGGACTGCCCATAGCTACACCATCTATTTGGCGGTTAATAGTGTTATCAAATTATTCTACAAAATCTCTAGTTCTCGCTTTATTCAAATATGTATAATTGTAGGGCCAGAAAAGGAAGAAATTACGGCAAAAAGGTATTCTTTGCTCAATGATTTTGTGTTTTCTAGATTTCTGAATGAATATTTTCGCTAAATTCCATTTCTGTTCTTAGAATCATCATAATGTATTTAGTTGAGGAATTGTTGTTGTGATCCATATGAATTCACTTTATATTCATTTTATGCAAATTAGAAACTGGAATTATCTTATTTATGAATTTATCTCATTTTGTGTCCTTAAAAACCACATTAAATTCAACTTCATTGATCATAACAACTAATAAACAAGTTATGTGCTTTGAATATTGAATTATGAATACATTAAAAACCATTTAATATATTTTATCTAGTTGCGTTCTCTCAGCTGGATGTCGTACACAAAACCAACAATATCGCTTCATTCGGCTGACTCAATGTCTACCAAAAGATTAAACATCGAAGATTTGCAAGCAAAAACCAACAAATTGGATGTGTCAGCGAGGCAGCCAGAGAAGACAGGACGCCAGGTGATGAACATAAAGAATAAATATTAAATATTCCCATAATAAAATTTAGAACAACACATTTAAGCGAACAATATTGTTTTCAATTAGATCTCATCATCAGTCTTAACTCTAATATACATAAGTTTACGAATAAAATTCAAATATAAACCAATCATGGTGTTATGTTTATAGGATAATAAGATGGTGATTATAAATTGTGCAATTGGTCATAATAGTTGTAGTAATAATAATAATAGTCTTATCAATAATAAGGATGAAAAAATGAGGCAATCTGTGATAACACGAATAATGAAAAAATAGCATAATTAAACAAACAAATGTTCAGGTGGAAGTAGTCGATAAAGGCTAGTAAAAACAAATGAACCGATTAAGTAATGCTAGATTGTAAGGGAAGTAAATGAAATGCGTCTTAATGAAAATGTGTTAAGATTAAGAGATGATAAGAGAGTGGGGATGAAAATATAAGTAAGGGGTGGTGTAGAAGTCATTAGTTGATTAGGTCTTAATAGGCCAACAGGGGAGAGATAATGTCTGTACGAACTTTTTTTTGAATGCATAGTTTAGGCTTAATAGTTCGAAAGTCTATCGCCTCAGCTGTGTGTGTTCAGTAGACGAATATGAAGTCTATTGGAAAGATTCGGTGGGATACGATGAATTACTTTGAAAGCTCTCATTTTCTTCACTACATGACCACTATCAATTAAATGTGACAAAATTGAGCTACGGATTGTTTTTGTCTGTCCTTTGCCAAACCATCAAGATGGGAGACGTTCAACAGTGACACGCTGGCTAAGCTGTTTAGTAGTACGGCCAACATAACTGTCACCGCAGGTGCAGTTGAATTGATAAATGCACATAGATGTGGCAAAACTATCAAGCTTATCCTTCGTTTGCGTCCTAATCATTCGTCGGCTAGAGAATGGTAAACATAGGTGTGCTGCGTAAAACGTTCTTCATACACTCCTGGAAAGTCTCTGGAAGAAAATCTCACTTGATAGTCACCATTAAATTGTAACTTAATAAACAGAGGCTTTTTACCTGCAGTCAGAGTCTCAGGTTTTCTCTCTCTCTGTGATGTTTTCATATGAACATAAAGAAGACGGGGGTGATGAAGATAAACAACCAACATTGATAACAACCAGCACCAATCACCATCAAATGGAGAGATTTGAGAAAGGTTAGTTCTAGTTTCACTTATCTAGGAAACATCATTTCAACCAAAGGCAGTCGACACAGGATGAGGGTGTTAAAGCAGGCCAGAGTCGGAAAGGCAGGATACGCACGTCTTTATGAACCTGAAACCAGTCTGGAAATATATATATATATATATATATATATATATATATATATATAATCAACAATCATAAGACGTTTATTCATCGCTTGTATTTAAGTTTTAAATATACATTTTATCTTATTCACTACATTTTTCTGAAAAAAACCCTGACCATTTCTTCAAAACATACTTGTCAACAAAACAATAAAAAACTATAATCGCCTTTTCATAAATTCATGCACACCAAGTGTATATACATATTATTATGCATTTCCTCACAAAAATCAATAAGTCAATGAATGAGTGAGACATTACTTAAATGTGTACATGCCACGCCCACGACTTTAACTAATGCTTATTATTACTATTGACTTTTATTTAATCAACCAATAAAATATTCGTTATCTAGGTCATCTTGTCTAACCAATCATATGAACTGATTCTATTCTATCAATTAATAATTCATTAATTGTAACACAAGACACAACTAATTAAAAGGTAATTTCTCTTCTAGTATCATTTACCTCACAAGAATGATTAAAAAACGGAAAATGGAAAAGCATTCACTAGAATCTAGTACACTGGTGAGAATTGTTGAAGCAAGGAAGCCAACTACTCGACATACACTGATTGTAACAATTATATTGTGCAGTCTGACTGTTATACTAATGACGGTTGGAATAAGTTTAAAGTTGGCTTATGGACCATCATTATATTATCATGATGAAAATTTGTAAGTTGAACGTTTCTTTTATTTCTTTCTTTGTTATTTATATAAGTATTTAAATGACTGATGAATGAACAAAGATTATTTGATTGTACATTAGTAACTAGTTTGATGTGCCTAGTCCTGTCATCTTTGGTGCAGACTAAATTCTATCAGTCAAGCTTCAATGTGGCCACCATGCTACTAGGTTGCTCACCATCATGGTGCACACTGATTTGATGGTATTAGATGGTTGGAGTCGATCGGAAAGAAGCCTTGTCCGAACTAGGTATCGTGCTAGTTGGCACTCATCAGCAATGCGCATCCCTTCTGAGATTCGAACCCACGTCACCCAGTTACTGCAGTCCTACAGGAGGTCAATCGCGAGCCCGAATAGATAGCTCAGTGGTAACGTCTCTGACTCACTGCAGTACTGGGTGAGGTGGGTTCGAATCTCAGAAGGGAGATGAGTTCCTTCAAGGTTACAGATACGCCTTGCTGACGAGTGCCAGATAACACGAAACCTAGGTTCACGGCTTCCTTCCAATTGACTCCAACCATCTAACGTCATCAAAATAAAGATTATTCTTTTCGATAATTTATTCATCAGGTTGTACAGGTATACGTCAATAATAATTAAAGAATTGTTGTAATTAACAACGCTAAGCGTTTATCGAATTACATTAAATCAATTATATCAACAGATTACAGTTCATTCTTAAGTGACACTATCCATCTATGGCAACAGTGAAAAACAGATACCACAGCCTAATGACCTTCAGCTAACCAATCACATTCTTTTAGGTGACATGTGGCAATTATAAAAAGTATATCTACAGGATATACATATAATAAAAATGAGTTATGCAGTGTATACGCCTCTAATGTGCTGCGAGAACAGGTCCCAATTTTAAATAGAATAAGTTATAGACATCATATTATTATTGCCTTGGGTTCCAAGTGGAACAAACGGCTTCAACAACACATATACACTTTGTTCTACTCTCTGTTGTCATCTTCATCTGGGTTCATGATTGCCCGTAGTCCTGCATTTTCTCCTCCTCCTCCTCCTCCTCTTCACACCATCTCCACCATGTCACCGTCACACTGACGACCCACTAGTCGCTTCCGAAATGGATTCCACCAGAGTAATGGCGTGCACTGCGCACGATGTCATTCGACGGCATCTTCAACATATACCCCATCCATCTCCATTTCCTCCTGCATATTTGTTCACTAATCGGCTCTTGCTTGTTGGTTTGTTGGCAGAGTTTCTGGCTGCTAATTCTTTCTGGTCAACCAACCAGCCGGCCATTTGATCTTCAGTGTGCAGCCAGCCAGCACATTGAGCAGCTGTTGATAAAAGTCGGTAACTAGTCAGAAATTCTGTTGGTAACGCACGTGAAGTGCAAGTTCTGACCCATATAGAAGAACTGACTAGCTGACTTGATACTTATGTTGAACAGAATCCAAATCTTGTTGTTTATGTGGCTGAGGTGGATTAGAGAAGATCTCTAAACTGGTTTCAGTTTGGCTTTCTGATTTTGACTGTTTGGATTTGACATCTTCACTCATGCTATCCGACTGCTTGTGGTTGAAACTAGTCTTCCTAGCTAGATAAATGCAGAAATCAACCTCTGTTCAACACTTCTATACCATATCTTCTCATTTCTTTGTCTACCTGTCTAGCCTTCCTAGCTTCCTACACTGTACGTATCTCCACATCCACATTCTTATTCTCTGTTTGATAGAGAGAAGACACATGGGCTGGTTGACTTCCTGAAAGCCTTCACCAGTCTGCTGTGTCATTTCGGTTCTTCAATACTTTTGGTATTTTTATTACTTTAATTGTGCTTTGGTTATGGACACAAACTATTGTAAAATCCACTTTTTTGATATGCTCAAAATCCTTCAATAGTATTTGTATGAGTACCAGCTTTAGGATTTACTAATCTTGATGAATATTTCTTGGTGGTTATGTGCAGTCACAATACTTAACATTTCAGATGGACGCTTTCCACATAATCTTCGTTACAAGTTTCACTCCTTACCCCAATCTAGGCCTAACCAAATCCTGCCGTAACTTGAGCTGTAAATCACTGTGAAAATTATAACATACACTTTTGAAAGCATCCATTTTGTAATGTTGGGTGATCTGATTGGTTGGTTCAAGATCATTTGACTGTGGCGTCTATTCTTTACTCTTGTCCCATTCAGTATAACACTGAATTGTGAATATTGGATAAATGAAGAAAAATAGTACAGAATTTATGAATTTATGAGTACCATAGCAGGCCGAAGTGGGTATAAATGGCTGGATCTCTTTCTTTTCTACTCACAGTTCCATGTAGTTTTAAGTGGATTACAATGGCCTCTGTTGTTTCGGGTAATCACTTCCTTATTTTACTTTTGATAATTTATTTGGTAGCCGATGGATGATAGATAGGCACCCTTCAATACTGGTTTTATGGCTTGTTTGAACAAAATGGTTTAATGGTTGAATTTTCTATGGTTGGTTTTTAATGATTAGATTCATAATTTTACGAGTTGATCACGGATTGATGTCAGTTAGAGAAACATTGAAAACCATCACCAGGGAGTACTGGACAACTGTTTCACCCTTCTAGTTTGGGAATCATCGGCAGTACGCACCCACCACCTGGGTTCGAACCCAGGACCTTCCGCCAGTGACTTGCTGCAAGATGGAGTTTCCTGGAGTGCTAGTGAGAAGCCGGGAACAGTGATGTCCATCCGAATGTCAAGTGTGAAGATAGATGTCCCACCGACGACATTGGTTGGGGTCGCGCTAAATCACGAATTGATAGAAGTTAGAATTCATGGGTTGGCCAGTGGGGAGGCAGGTCCCAGTGGCTGAATGGCCTTATAACGGGAAAATCGTGGGTTCGAACCCTGGCAATGGGTGCGTACTGCCGATGATTCCCAAACTAGAAGGATGAAACAGCTGTCCAGTACTCCAATGCTGGTTTTCAATGGTTCTGTAACTGATATCGATCTATAATCAACTCGTAATATTGAATTGTTATTGGTTTTTAATGCACGACCACTTAGCCATATTGTTAGGCGCCTGATCGGAAAAAATGGTGAAAAAAGGTGGATCAATCATATGAGTTGTGGAGCCAGGTTTCTTGTAGAGTGACAATACCAGTATTGTGGTAAAATCCGGACGACAACGGGGACTGAAAATCCAGAATTTTGTTAGGCAGGGATCGATAGGTGATACAAATGATAACCGGAACAGTGTTGTTATGTATGGGTGTAGATTTTAAGGCACGCTGCCAACCTCCATGGTACTTTTTCTTGAGTTTATGGCATATATGAAAGTTTTTGGGTTTAAAACGTTTATGAAATCCCGGGAGTGGATAATACAATTAGAATGCATAATGTGATATGTAAACACCAATAAAATATGAGTAAATAGATGCATAATGTACATTGAAATATGATAGCCCAAAATGTTCAAACAGGCCGCCTCATTCAAACGAAACTAACTTTGTCAAATATGCAGATGATCTGACTGTATCACTGCCTATCACTTCCAAGTCTGACTGCTCCAAACTTAATAGCTTTCTGTTGGACATCAACAAGTGGTCTAAGTCAAATGGTCTTATGTTAAATCCTTCCAAATGTCAGGTAGTTGACTTTAATTTCAAGAATCGACGTGACTTACATGAACTAGTTAGTTCGCATGATGCCTATAGCATAGATGGCACAGAAACTGAAACCAAGTCAAGCATTAAATACCTTGGATTAGTTCTTTCCTCTGACCTTTCATGGTCATCCCATATCACCTTATCAGTCTCTAAGAAAATGTTTCGTCTTACCTTCTATATAAAAAAGTTAAGACAATCAGGTATCAACCAACCTTTAGTTTTGCAATTTTTAAACTCCTGTATTTTACCTAGTGTACTCTATTGCTCTCCATTAATCTTTCCTGGGCTTTTCAAAAAAGATTATATCATATTACGAAGAGTATTAAATGCTGTGAGTAGGGCTTGTGGTCTGCCACTGCATGAGCTCGCCAATACTATAGTCGAGAGACACATAAATTCCTGTACAAAATGGGCAAAGGCCGTACTGTCCGATCCCATGCACTCACTCTATTCACAACTATCAGTTTGTATCGCATCAGGTAGGACGAGAAGTCAATATAAAAAGTTATGTGCTCGTACCACTAAGTACAGAAATTCTACAATACCCTATTTAGCCCGTACTTTATGTGACGAAGACTCTGTTAGACGTGAAACACATAAGTTGCTGTGCAATTAGCACATTGAATCGACCCTTTCATTGTTCATCTTTCTGCATTTTTATGGTGTCACACTTTCTATCGTTTAATCATAACTCTGCTATTTTATTTTAGTTGGTATTACTATTATTACTACAATTTTATACTTTATGCATATTTTTCTCCGTATTGCACACAGTATTTTGCTATGTAGCTGCTATAACATTCGTTTTATTGTTATTATGCAATGTGTATTTTTAATTTTTTTGTTGTTGTCGTTTTTGAGTAAATTAGATGCAATATTGTACTGAATGCTGAAAATTTCTTGCTGTATCATTAGTACTGTTTTTGGAATAAAGCAAAAATTATTATTATTATTATTAAAATCATGATAATTACTAAACATTTAGGGGAAAAATGGGTTGATTACGGTCATGTGACTTAATTTCTCCCATTTAGACCAAAGTTTAACCCATTACAGGGACCGACACCAATTATATAGAAGTTTTTTGGAGAGGGTAAAAAACCCCGAATTTGATCCATAAATGGATGACAAAGCGATGTCAGGATGTGGTGTAACTTTTCTATTGGTGCTACTATGCTAAACTGTGAGATGTTTCTATCATATGTGAGAGAAAGATATCCTTGTAACACTTTTAAACAGATTTTATGCATTTTCTCCATAATTATTTTATGTACTCCATACACAAAAACTGCCTCTTTCATGTGATTGGTGCGTGAGATCCAGGTCATTCGCTGATTGGTGCTGTCAGTGTTATTT